GAGAAGATTACTGGTGTACCCTTCAGACAGGTACATTATCCATGGATTATTTTAATATTGTTATTAAGAAATTCTCTCGCTTTTTTAAGAATGTCGAAACTCATTCAATGATTGACTCAAAAAATAATTTTACTAAAATTCTTATATTTCTATGAATATCTTCATATTGGCTCGCAAATTTATTTATATAAATAAAAATTCATTTAAATTATTATGGGTACTTATCAGTTTCACTTCTAGTATATTCAGAATCAATTTCATTGTATCTAAAATGATTAGAATTATATTTATTGCATGTTTGACTATTAGTAAAATTGATTTTAAGATGTCCAAAATTATATCCACTTGAAAGTAATTATTAGTATTTTTCTATCAAACAAAATGTAATTAAACAAACTATTACAGGTATCTTCGGTTTCATTTATACTATATTCAGAATCAATTTCATTATATCCAAAATAATCAAAATAATCAGAATTACATTTGTTACATGTTTAACTGTTTAATAAAATTTTTACCAAAAAAAACTGTTTAATAAAATTAATTTTAAGATATTCAAAATCACATCCAAAATAACTATTAGTAGTTTTTTTTAACAAATAAAATTATATAATTTTGAAGTTTTATCTATTAAATTCATAATTATAAATTTAAAATCAATTTTAATAACAAATTTTTAAATAACATTTAATATTAACATCAAAATAAAGTTTATATTCTTTGTTATCTAAACAAAAAATCAATTTTACAAATTTACGATAACTCTAAATTAATTATATTAATGCATACTCACCCATTTCATGTAATGTAACTTATACGCCACCAATTGAAAGTTGAAGCAGTCCAACTCCGATGTAACTGCACCTTTTTTTTCCACTTGAGTGAGTGAGCCCCGCTTCTCTGATTCTGAATATATATAAAAAAGCACCAATCATTACCAACTTAATCAATGTGCAAGTGGCACCCAAAGGTGCAACCGTTCAATTTCAAACTCACTGAATCTCACACACACTTCGATAGATATATACTCCTAAATCAACACAAACAGAAGCGAAGAATCAGCCTTAAAAAAATGCATAAATTCAAGCACCTCGCGATCCAGTGCGGCGCAGCGCAGAGCCCCAAGAGGAGCCCCGTGGTGCGCCGGAAAACCACCCTGGGGATGCTGCTGCGCCGCCGCGGCCGCCGGCGAGAGTGTCTGCTGGAGAAGAGGGAGGGCGAGGATGAGGTGCGGCGCCACTCACTGAAGGACCTCTTTCAGTCTTCGCCACCTGGCGCTGATATTTCCGGGTCGCCCAAACACGCTTCGACCGGTTTTCGTTACAGGTCGTTACTGTCCAAGAAAGCTTGGCGCCTCATTCTACTCTCGGTTACCGAGTAATAATCAAAAAATAAATATATATATATATATATATATATATATAATTATAATATGCATTAACTTGAATAGACAAATAATTTTATAATTTTAAAATATTGTATATATATATATTAAAATTATTAAATTTTTAATGAGAGAGATAAAAATCACATAATTATAATATTTGAGAGACTAAAATTGTTCAATTAAAAATTAAAAGACCAAAATTGTACAATTATAATTTTTTAAGGACTAAAATTATCTAATTAAAATTTTGAAGATCAAAATTATACAATTACTTGATGGATAAAAAACACAATTAAACCTAATTTATTCAAAAACTTAGAAATATATTTAATGCGCCCTAAAATTAGGAACATGAAGTGAAGTGAAGCTGAGGATATACCTATAAATGCAACTTTAATGGTGCTTATAATTTCAGGACCAACCTGACAGCAAGTGGACCTAGGCCGAACCCGCAAGGGTCGTACCATTACGGTATGATAAACACAACGAGGACCATCGTACTGTCGAGTTCCGCTGGTCAAGTGAATGGCAAACAAAGATACGCAATTAACAGTGTGTCCTATGTTGCTCCCGACACTCCTCTTAAGCTCGCCGACTACTTCAAAATCTCTGGCGTTTTCCGCGTGGGAAGCATTTCTGACAGACCCACCGGCGGTGGCCTATACCTTGACACATCTGTTATGCAAACTGATTACAGAACATTTGTGGAGATTGTCTTCCAAAACGATGAAGACATCATTCAGAGCTATCATCTCGATGGCTACTCTTTCTTTGTCGTTGGGTAAGTCAGCACAAACCATTTTCATATATATGGTTGGTCAATTACTTGTTGGCCTCCCCCATCCTTTTGAATTTTATTTTTAGCCTTAATTACACTTTTTACATTCATTCGTGTTTTATGATTTTACAAATTTTGTCACTTAATTTTAAAATTTTAAATATTTTACTATTTGATTAGTTAATTATCTCTCATGTCATAAATAGACTATTAACATTATACATTGAATATTAATGTGACATATTATATGATTGTATACGGGAACATGTGGATATTGACACGGCATAACATGTTATATTATTAGTCAACTAATGAGGACAAAAGATGAATTAACTGAATGCCAAAAGGGACAATTTCGAAAGTTTAGTTACAAAATTAGTGAAATTGTGGAACTTAACTGACAGAAAGTGCAATTAAGCTTTATTTTTATGTATTTACTTTTATTAAAGTTGTGAAACATTTTCATTGTATGTGTAGTATGGATGGAGGACAGTGGACAACTGCCAGCAGGAACCAGTACAATCTTCGAGATGCAGTTTCACGGTGCACCGCTCAGGTGCGAATATAAGCTATGATCATTCAAGAATTTTGTTGCTCAATGCTCCCAAGATTAGATTTTGAAACTCATTCGAATCTTTGATGATGTCGTGATTCGTGCAGGTGTATCCCAAGTCATGGACTGCTATATATGTTGCGCTTGACAATGTGGGAATGTGGAACTTGAGGTCTGAATTTTGGGCACGGCAATACCTTGGCCAACAGTTTTATATGCGCGTTTATACAACATCGACCTCAATCAGAGACGAATATCCTGTTCCAAAGAATGCACTACTTTGTGGTAAGGCAAGTGGGAGACACACTCGACCCCTTTGAGCTAGCCAGTGCCTCAAGGATCCCACAATTTGGTTTTGGTGCGTGGAAGGCATTCTAGCCATAAAATATGAAAAGCAGTTGACTTATCTGCTTCTGATTTTGATTTATTTGTATCGGTAATTTATGATTTGCTCAGATGGACAAGTATGATTTAAAGTATAAATGACCCCAGCTCGGGGTCACATTCTTTCCCTGAAAAAAGAAAAAAGAGAAACAATATTCTATTCTATTTGTAATTTCTCGAAATGTACTATTTTTACATATTAAGGTTATAAGGAAGTTGGTATTTAGCACTTGACAGTGCAGTGTGTCATTCGCTCAGAATTGATAGTCTTTTCCCTTATTAATATGCAAATAGTCGATTGATTTTAGCTGTGGAAATGCAGAACTTTAATTTTAATTTATCTGTGTACAGGAAATATAGGTCCACACAATTAAACTTAACAATATCTTTATAGTGTTATGGTTAACAACACTGAATCCCTAAAAAAAATGAGGAATTACAATATATATCTCTTTTCATGATCTTTATATAAGAAACCACCCGTTCAAATCAATTTTATCTATTAAGGTGATATAAAGGTAATCAATTTAGTTTTTGAATTAATTATATCTTCTTATTAACGAAACATCTAAAAAAATACAATAAAATCACAATGTTACATACATTTGCATAAAAGAGATATTATGTATGATTTTGACCTAATTATCATTATTTATGTGAGATTGCTTCTTATTTAAGCATTAGAGTATTTACAAGTACCTCTACTCATAGGAGGTAGGAGGAAGGAGGCCATTAGATCCTTGCAGGCGAAGATATCTCCAAATTCCATTAAGAACAATTGGTATTATATTCTATCATTTTCTCTAGTATATTTGACATAGACTATGAAATTATGGCGGAAGAGAAGTTGGCTTTAAACTGATGATATATTCATCACCATAAAAGTTGAGCATTTTTTTTTTATTGCACAAAAGGAACCAAGTTAATAAGCACTGATTACAAAGCGATACATTATTAGATAATGTGACATACAATCAACTCATTCTTTTAACAGTTATAAGAATGAAATATCTATAGACTTTATGAAAAGGCTAATTTTTAAAGAAAAACATGAGATCTTTCTTTCAAACTGTGTTTTTTATTATTACTTTACAAAATTCGAACTTGAGATTTTGTTCAAATAATTCAGATTTTGTTTTATTTGGACCAATAACGTGTTATTAATCAAACTTCTTTTACTAAAATGACACTTAAAATATACTAAAAGCTAGCTAAAATATATTTATAGAAATTAGGGAAAGTTTTTTTTTTGGCAAATTAATTAACAAATTTTTTTTAGCAAAGAGTGGTTATTGTGTTTGAAGAAAAAATAAGTTCCAAAATAAATATCATGATTGTTTTTTAATATAGTATTAATTATTTCCTTTTTATTTAATTATAAAAATATCTCTTTTTCATTTATATTACTCGTAATATTCTTTAAAAACGGTTATTATATTACATCATTTATTGTAAAAAAGATTAATTATAATGTTAATTTTGTTAAATTATTATTATTTTTTGTCTATTTATTATATTTATTTATTTGTGTAAAACAATCTAAAACGACATTTTTTATGGAACAAAGAGAATAACACATTAGTAGGCGGTGGAAATGAATTTCTTTAACTAATAAATTCTACTTCTAATCCTATGTATAAGAAACAAATACCTAATTAATCAAAACCAAGAAAAGTAGTTAAAGTAGTTATTTGTAGTTAATAATGCCATAATTTAAAAACTTTACTTAAATAATACTCATAGAATTAAATCATACAAGTAATAGTAATATTTGATGACATCATTCAAAGACTGGAACAATCTTTTCAACCAATATAATAAACATGACTTATACATTCACTTTCATGAAAAATGTGTAAATGATTTATTAATATACTCATAATAAATTAAGAGTATAAAATGAAATTACTAAACAATACATTTAAGTAAACCTATGTTTAGGAACAAAATAAAACTCTTATTTATTTCTTATGTATGGAGATAATATACAATATAGAAAAGTAGAAACACAAATATTTTAATATTGAAAAACCTTCTATGCAAGGAAAAAATTTATGGTCATCCAACTAAAAAAAATAACTTTACTACAATCAATAAGAGTACAAAAAGAGTATCTTTCAAGTGCACAAAGTAGTTCTTACAATCACCTAAACAAACCAAAGATATGATAATTATAAATGAGAAACAAGACAAATGAAAAATACCCAAAAAAAAAAAAAGGATTGAACAATAACTCTTTTTTATTTTATCCTCTCTTTAATGATGACTATTTTTTCTCAAGATAATAAATTTCTCTTGCCCTAATTTAACATCTTTTATTAGAGTTAACAAACTCAATTTCAAATAACTAATATTTTGTTTTATCCCAATTAGATTGTTAGTTAGCTCTTTTATTTGTTCCAGTATTTTTATATTTTAATTGTGCCCTTTGTAATAACTCCCAGACCCATATCCAAATATCCAATATGTGTGTGGGTCTTCTCTTTTGTATTATACAAAATGATCTTTTCAATAATACAAAATGCTATCTTTATATATATATATATATAT